TAGTATTGCACAGTCTGCCTCACCCTTACAATAAGGGGCAGCGGTCACAGGGAGGGCTGAGGGGGAACACTGCAGGTGCAGCGTCTAGTGTGGGGCCTGGCCCAGAATGAGCACTCTGTGAGAAATTGCTACGGTTGTTGCTCTTGCTGGGTTTTTTTTGCTGGAGCCACATGTGGCACTGAACCACCCGGATTGGGTTTGCAGGTATTGTACAAAGCAGGTCAGCGTGGTTGCTGAGGGGCCTGGGAAGTGTTGGCAGGGCCCCCCTTTTCTCAAGATTATCAAAAGCCCAGCAAACACTCCCAGCCCTGAGCTCCCCAGCTAAACCTCTGACATTGTGCACAGAGATGTAAATGAAGGAGGCAAGTAAATGGGAACTAGGCTGGATGAGTTTCAAAATCAGTGAGCTGGGACCTCTGGCAAGACCTTGCCTGGACAGGCAGCTGTGTGCAGGGCGCATGCTAACGAGTTCTATGGCTGCAAGCTGGTCCCAGAGCATCTTCCCACCCTTGTGGGGTGGGGCCGGGTGAGCCTGTCTGTGGGTGTGTGGGGAGTAGGGGGAGTGCTCCTCCGGCTGGTCAGCTGACCACATCCGTCCCACAGACTCTCTCCCTAGCTCCGTTCATTTTCAAGGTGTCTGCCTTGGATTTTGGCTCAAGCCACCCAGCTCCAATTTCTTTCTTTCTTTTCTTTTTGTCTCAGACCTTTGGTTTTGCTCCAACTTGGAATGTTTGACCTCAGCCAGGTCTCATTCTAAACTTAGAGCCATGGTTTCATTCGTGGTTGAACATTTTGGCAAAGTCCCTGTCCTCCCGGCCATCCTCCTCCTCGACATCCTCCCCCAGACAAAAGAAGAGGATGGTAGAGGGGGTAAGGTCCATCAGCCTTAACACATCCCTAATTACAGAAAGCAGATTTCTTTTAGACCACTAAAATGGCAGCGTGTACTTTGGACCTGTTGTCAGGAGAGACCAGTCCCTGGAGAAGGACATCACACTTGGAAAAGCAGCGGGGCAGTGAGAGAAGATGAGAAGAATCAACACCGTGGCTGCCGCCAGGGGCTTCGGCAAAGGAACAATTGTGAGGATGGGGCAGGACCAGGCAGCGTTTCATTCTGTTGTGCTCAGGGTTCAGATGGGTCAGAACCAACTTGATGGCACCTAGCAATAACCAAGGACGAATGAACTCTCAGACCGTTAATGCACTGCCCCCACCCCTGCCTTCACATCTTCACAGCAACCCTGGTGGTGTCGTAGTGGGTTATGCTTTGGGCTGCTAACAGCAAGGCAGTCATGGGAATCCACCAGCCACTGAGGGAGAAAGAGGAGGCTGTCTATTCCTGTAAAGAGCGACAGTCTCGGAAGTTCTACCCTGTCCTATAGGATCACTGTAAGTCAGAATGCACTCTATGGCAGTGAGCTTTGATTTGCACATATTCATGGTGTAAGCCAACAAGAGCCTGCTCTAACTCCTCAAGGCAGCCTGCTTCCCCTCCGCACCCCCCACCCCCACCCCCGAAAAAAAGGAAGCAGCATAAATTCTTGTGTCTATAAACTGATGTGGGGAAGAAACATTAATTTCTTTTGCAAATATCTAATTGAAACATGTACTGTGTGTCTGTTTCATCCTTGAAACCATTACTGTTTTCAGGGGGAATGCAGGGTCTTGATTATCCAAGCTACATGATAGTCAAGCAGGCACTACGTGTGGT